TGGTTGTGATCGCTTATTTCTACGCATGTTTGCACTCTGTGCGGACGATGTAATATTACGTGCTTGTGATCGGACCGCTTGTGACAGCTCGCTGTTCAAGACACCCGTACACTGTACAGCATTGCAGACTTCCAAAAAAAAATTCTGCCCTGATGAAATTCAACTTGTACATCTCATGAATATGGGAAACTATGCCGAAATAGCTACTGAATATTTAACTTGATTATTACATGGTTCGTTCTACTTACATTATTGGGCTTACAAAAATCTCAGACACACACACAGGGAACAAACATACACAGAACAAAGCGAAAACAAAACAGCGCCCCCTATTTTCAGGCAAATCTTTACCTTTTTAGTTTTTTTTTGTCTTTTTTAAGACCGAACAAACGGTTTTCAACCGAGTATAGTTTAGAACCCGTCCCGTGTACTCATCGATCTCTTCTGTGAATTTGGCGCTATTTGAATCTAAACTGACGGAGCCTTTCATTAACATACATACATACATACATACATACATACAACATTCGCCAAATTATAGTAAGATGAACTCAAAGAACTTTGTGCACAGGGTGATGGAAATTAAGTCACGTATTACCTTAAGCTTGGCTTAATCTTTCAGAATGCGTGTAGTAATAGCAGGGGCGAATAAAGACAGTCTGTCATTATTCATTCCTGGTAATATGTACGTAGTTTTCTCACTATGGTTGCTCATAAGTGACCAGCTTAACCTCATAATGTTTAGAGAACACGTCTGCAGTGTATTAAGTAATGTAAGTAAGTAAGTAAACCTACAAGGCACCAGTATTAAAAAGCATTTTAAAACCATGGTGCACACTAGCAAATTATAAATAATAAGACAGATGAAGGCAAAATAATAAAATGAAACTTGCTGCACAGTGAATGGCACGCAATACTACATTTATCTAGTGATGTAGCAGGTTTTTTGAAGACGAAATAAAATGTCGTTGCACTATTTAGTAACTGTATATATTGCGAATGACAGTAGCAAGAGCATGTAAAGAAGGCCTTCTTTATATGCTCTTGATAGTAGTAATAGCAGTTTACATGAAAGTAACACAGCCTAATGAAGCTTAGTAATAACTGTGTAAAAAAGCCGTCCAGCTTGTTTATAGTAATATAAACCCTACTTCTACATGTTCTAGTCTTTTTCTAGGATAGATGTGATCTAGACATTACATGGAATGGAATGTGGGTAGATTATCAATTCTATTGGGTAGTAATATTTACATGGGTAGAGGGTTACTAGTAGACAAATTATAACTGCCAACCAGAGTTGTTGTCAGACGGAATAACCAGATAAACCATCTATTTGGTTTACTCTTTGAATACGTAAAATAACTTCTCGTTTTACAACCCCTTGACATCATTATTCAATTTCGCTATAAAAAAAGGAAGAGACGCTTGTATAAATTTTCAAGCTCAATCATAGGTTTACAAAGCATTCACCCATCAGCACTCCACACAACTCCCATGTATTTACAGTTGCACAACAGTGTTGCCATCTACAGTCCATCAACGAGATTAGTAGCCTCCACCTTCTCAAATTCTCTCTTCCTGGTTTTTACGACGTCACGTACGATTGCTGAAAAGCACGAAAACAAAGCACATTAGCGAAGTTCTGGATTCCTCCTTTCTGTCTTCACTTCCCTTACTCAAATGGGACATCCGTAATGGCAACTGCATAACTAAGGGAATCACTAACATTACATCAAATACACATCAACTAGTTTATGATTAAGCATAGCGAGTGAGCGGCGTATCCTTACGATGCAATTGATCTGCCGTAGTAATGATATCGTGAAATTAATCTATCGTGGATGTGATCTTCCGTGCAAAGGCAGAAGAGCGAGTGCATGCGTGTGCATTGTGCATGCGTGCACGTGAGATGGTACTTACCGTCCATGGGTTTTTAGAAGTTGCCTCTGTCGGTCAGACAGGAGAAGACAAAAGGCACTAGGTCTGAAAGATTTCCCTGAGCGAAGGCACACGCAGCCACCCTCTGCGATGTGTCAGCTTCCCCAACTCCAGAACCTCCTTCTGCTGCTGCATTTGCCACACCTGTCCGCCACACAAACACACATCAACCGTTATTCAGCCTGATTGAGTAAAAAGACCGAAAGCATGAAGAAGACCATTGTGACTGTAGTCATTCGTCGCTAAATTTATGGTTGTAATATAAATATCCTAAAATATCAAGTTGAAATCTCAAAGATATAGCTCAAAGGTGTGCCTTTCCTTGCCCTTTCTCTGCCACCCTCTTACCTTCTCCTCCCTGTGTCGCCTCTCCTTCTCCTCACACTTCCCCTTATTTATTCTTTCTGTGTCGCCTCGTCCGAAGGCTTGTGATGGTGGCGGCGTGAGATGCAAACACCCGTATTATTCCGTACCGTATATTTCCACACAATATCGCTGTGAAATCTCATCTGAGACTGAAGGACAGACACCTGCAGTGGAGAAAAGGTTCGTATAATAACTACACACATTGCTGCTACATTTGACACTGTTTTTTACACACGGATCAATAGTTTTAGTATGTATGGTTCGCTGTAATCTGACACATGCGTGCAAGCTTAATATAGCTATACATTGTTATAGAACGTCTCTATGAATACACAATTAATGCACTCGCTAGGTGGCGCTAGTAGATCATATGAAAGACTGAAAGTGCCTGTATTTGATACTATATAATAATATAAAATGTCTCTATCAATACACCGCGCTCTCGCTAGGTGACGTTAATAGTTCATATGCTGACATTTGTTATCGTTACCTTACCCATATTGTTCCATACAGTTAATATGTGTATTGACGTTAGTCACACAGCCTGGTCGCTTGAACCGATCGGGTTACGACCCCTTGACAAGGCCCAAGGATAGAGAACACGGGTCCCAATAAAAGCTGTTTTTCTGCCGATAGATGGCGCCACTATGCTATATACACTATGTGGTTATATAGCTACTTGGATATATATACAGAGATATATATAGATATTTCGCATTTTTTTCGACACTTCCTGTTAACTCACATAATGTTTATCGGCCGAAATGAACAAAGAACACCCTCAACAGCACCCCTGTCGCTTTTAAAGGGGCTACCCCCACATTTACGAAAATGACATAGGTCTCAGTGGGGCTGATAAGGTCTATGTCCCCTGGGGTACTGCCGGAACGTACCCTGGGTACGGTCCGGTATACCGGAACATACCCTGGTGCTATATTATATGCCGGACCGTACCTAGCCTACTCCACTAATGAGTGTAGGGAGTCGCCTACGCCTATATTATATACTCTCTAACCCGAACCCGAACCCGAACCCGAACCCTAACCATATCAAATACTGAAATAGGGACCAGGGTACGTTCTGGTATACCGGACCGTACCCAGGTTACGTTCCGGCAGTACCCCAGGGGACATAGACCTTATCAGCCCCATTGAGACCTATGTCATTTTCGTAAATGTGGGGGTAGCCCCTTTAAAATCGACAGGGGTGCTGTTGAGGGTGTTCTTTGTTCATATCGGCCGATAAACATTATGTGAGTTAACAGGAAGTGTCGAAAAAAATGCGAAATATCTATATATATCTC